ACTGGATTCTTTGTAGCATGTAAACTATAGCTATGAAGCTAAATACCTAATTGTATTTGGACCCTGAGTAGAAGTGTCAGATCTCACCCTGAAGATCTTTGCTGTGCTGAGCCTGTTGCCATGTCTGTAAAGTGGGTCATTGTGAGCTCTCACCCCAATGGGTTGCTGAGAGCACCTTGAAAATGTTTGAAGGAGTTAACTCAAAAGTATTTGGGCACCTACTGTGCCTACCCATTGTTTTGGACCTGGTGAAAATAACAGAACTAAGCAAATATTCCTGCCCTCCTGGAGCAGTTACTGTAATAGGGAGCAATCATATAGCTTCATTCAAGACCTGTCCCAACCCTGCAATCTCTCAGGAGGCTAACACCCCTCCCCTACTCCATTCATAAAATAAACTCTGGTATTTTTCTTTTCTTTAAAACTTTATTTAAAAAACTTCCGATGCAATATTAAAAAGCAATACAGCCAGCTGGAGAGACAACCAACATAAAGGAGGAGGGGTAGGGAACACCCTGGTACCCAACCCCAGCTGTTTCCAGGGGCTACAGGCCAGGGGCAAACTGGGGAGGGGCAAGGGTGATGGGGGAGGGAGGAAAGGCCACCCACCAAAATGAACAGGCGGAACAAAACATTTATATCAGAAACATCTGGCTGAACTGAAAAGGATTTAGATAGATGAAAAGACCCCATGTTCTTCTTTTCAAAAATGTCCTGGGCTGAGTGGGGGTAGGGTTGGCCTCCTGGGGTAAAATGAGTAGACCCTGTCCCACCCCACACTCCATCATGGAGCACAGGATGTACGTGTGTGTTGGGGAGACATAGGTAAGAGATGAATAGGGAGGGATAACCCCCCGGAATCCGTTATGAGGACACTGAGGGTGCCCTCATCCAGTTCCTGGACTCTGGGGGTCTTGGGTGAGATGGGGGCTGGAATGGGCAGGGGCACAGCTGGGCATTCAGCCTAGAAAGCCATCAGGGTCATCATCCTCAAAGTGGCCTTGCTGCAGCACCTTGATATGGTGCTCGTAGATTTTCAGGGCTGGGCCCAGACGGATGGATAGCCCTGTCAGCACATCTGTGCGCTGCATGAGCAACAGTGACTTGCCGTCAATTTCCTGGGTAAGACAGAGAGAGAGAGAGAGAGAGAGAGAGAACACAGGTCAGAGCAAAGCCCACTGAGGCCCTTGATTTCAGTGGGATGGGAACTCACCTGTTCTTGGAAAGCTGTTGCCTGCTCAGGGAAGCCTGCCTCGGTGAAGTACTCTACCACATCCATCACCGTCCACTCTACAGGGTCCGCTGGCTTTTCCTTACGCCCCGAACTGTGTCAGGATAGAGGGAGCCAGAGAACAGTGATGCCTCTACGATCCTGTTACAAGTACCTGGCAGCACCCCCATATTCAAACACCCCAACTTACGGGCAGCCAAAGGGGGTCCCATCAGCCCCAGGCAGGGCTGGTTTTCCTGGGGGCAAAGGCACGGGGGACGGGGAGTCTGGCCCAGTGGCAGCAGAGGCTAGCAAAGAAAAAGCATATGCCTGTGGGTTTATCACGGGGCTTGGTTCCTCCCCACAGGTACCCTCTTCTACCCAGAGGGATCCTTACCTGATCCCCCCTCCTTATTCATGGCGGCCATGGAGAAGACCTGGCGGGTGCCACTGCCAGGTGCTGGCCCTCGTCCTTCATCCTGGCCCTGGTGGGGTCCACAGGGTGTCCACTCCTTAATCCTCTCCTTGGCATTCTGAGGGCCCCGCTCGCCATTAAGCTGGTGGTGCTGCGCACCTGCAGGGCGGTCACTCTCCGGCACTTCAGAGCCCTCAGACACATCGTCTTCGTCATCTTCATCTTCGTCATCCTCCTCTTCCTCTTCCTTCTCAAGCACTGGCTCTTCTCCACCTCTCTGGTAACGGGGGGGAAAGGCACACAGGGTCAGTAGCTGTTGCGGCCCTGAGTCCAGTGCCTGGGGTCCAAACCCAAAGGGTATGCCTACGGCAGCCTTGAGCAGCAGCAGCGGCTAACTTTTACACGTCCACTCTGTGCCAAGCTCGGGGCCAATAAAGCCCTGGGTAGCCAAATCTCACTAAACTCGCTCAACAACCCCAAGGGGTCGCTACTGTTATTAAGTCGCGTTTTACAGGGGAGGAAACTGAGTCTCGAGAAGATTAAGTCACTTGCCAAGGTCACCAGGCGCTGAGCCCGCAGGGAAGACGCGCACAGCGGCGGCCACCCGGTTCCTCCAGGGACTCGCGCGCCCCCGTCCCCTCGCCCGCCCGCCCCGCACCCCGCCGCCAACTTCACCCGCACCTGCCCACCGCGCAACGCCCGCCCTGCCCGCCCGCCCGCGCGCCCTGCCCGCGCGCTCACCTTGCTCCGCGACGCGCGGGAGCCGGCGGCGGGCGGCGCCCGTCCGGGCCTGTCCCCGCGGGGCAGCGCGAGCGCTCCGAGGCGAGTGCGCTCCAGGCGGCCCCGCGCCGCCGCCTCCTCCTCCAGCAGCCCCTGCACGCGGCCGCGGGTCAGGCGGCCGCCCGCGCCGCCGCTGCCCCCGAGGTAGCGCACGACTTCCCGCAGGCTCACGGGCCGCGCCGGGCCGCCGGTCCGCGCCGCGCCCCCCTCCGGCGGCGGCTGAGGCTGCGGCGGCGGCGGCGGCGGCTGCTGCTGTGGCGGCGCCGGCGGCTGAGGCGGCGGCGGCTCCCGGGCGGCGACGGCGGGGGGCGGCGCGCGGCGCGGGCCGGCCGGGGGCGCCGCCGCCGGGGGCGCGGCGGGCGCGGGCGGCGGCGCGGCCAGGGGCGCGGCCCGCTGCGCGCGGGGGCCCGGCGGCGCGGGGCCGGGCGAGGGGGGCGCTGTGGCGGCGGCCGCGGCGGCCGCGCGGGGCGCCCGGGCCGGGGCGGCGGCGGCGACGGGCGCGGGCGGCGGCGGGGCGGGCGTGGGCGGCGGCGCGGCGGCGGCGGCGGCGGGGCCCCCGCGGGGGGCGCGCGGCGGGGCCGGCGGGGTGGCTCCGCGCCGGGGCGGCTGGACGCGCGCCGCGTTGCGGTACGAGATGCTCCCCTTGTAGCTGACCCGGAGCACGGCGCGCTGCTGGATCAGTTTCTCGAGCTCGGCGCGCGTGCGCTCCGGCTCCGGGCCGTGCCGCCGCCGCACCATCCGGCAGATGCGCTCCAGGTCCGGCCGCGCCTTGCGCGAGCGCAGCGAGTCGATGGTGTCCAAGATCCACTCTTGGTAGTGCGGGGAAGCGGCGGACGACGAGGCGGCGGCCGCCGTGGTGGCGGCCGCCGCCGTCTCCGGCGGGGGTAGGGCCGGGGGCCCCGCCATGCCTCCCGCCCGGCCCGGCTGCACCGTGCGCGCTGCCTCCCTCCCAGAGCGGCGCCCCCCTCTCCCGCTCCCCTCCCTCCGCCGCTGCCCGCCTCCTCCGCCTCCCCCCCGGGGGGCGCAGCGCCTCGGCGGAGCGGCGGCGGCGCTGCTGTTTCTTTGCAAAAAAAAAAAAGCGAGAGAGAGGGAGCGAGAGAGGAAAAACAGTGAGAGAGAAAGAAAAGAGGAAAAAAATATGCACACACTCACTCACTCGCACGCACGCACACCCGGGCCCGCTTCTGCTGGGCGCGCGCGGGGCCGGGGATGCGAGCAGGAGGAGGGAGCGCGGCGCGGCCGGCCCCTCCCCGCCGCCGCCGCCGCCGCCGCACGCGCGCCCTGCGCCCGGGACACTCCGGCCCCCCTCCTCGCCCGCCCTCCCTCCTCCCCGCCGCCCGCCTTCCTCCCTCCCACCCCCACGCGCCCGCTTTTAAGGTGGAGCCCGGGCCCCCCGCCCGCCCCTTTACCCTGCGCTCTCGCTCACTCCGGCTCGCCCCGGCCCCCCCTTACAACTCCCGCGCGCTTTTTAAGGAGGCGCCGCGGAGTTGGCGCCGGGGCGGGGGCGGGGGAAAGCGGAGGGCGGGGGAGGGGGAGGGGAGCGCCGGGGGGAGGGGAGAGGGGCGGGCGGGGCGGGCGGGCGGCGCTCGGCCGCCCTCCAGCCATTGGGCGCGGGACCCAGACGTCCCCGGCGCCCAGCCCCCCTCTCCACGCCTCCCCGGCGCGCTCCGCTCTCGGGACCGCACTTACCGGGAACTCGCCGCCCGCTGGCCGGGCCGTCGCCCTGGCCGAGCGCCGCGGGGACCCCGGGACGGCCACCGCCCCCGCGCCCCTTGGGCGCGCTCGGCCCCTCGCCCCGCGCGGAGGCTGCGGGAGGGGGCGCGCACCGTCTCCCCCCTCCCCCCTCGGTCCGCCCCCGCTGCCGCTGGGCCTCCGGGTGCGCCGGCCCCGGCGTCTTCCTGGAGCGCCCTCGGCCCAGAGCTGGGCGCAGAGGGGCGCGCCACGGATGTGGGGTCCCCTAATTGAGGGTCAAAGGGCAATTTGGCGCCCCCTTCTACGGGGCAGGGGGAGTGGCGGAATTCCAGCAAAGCCCAGTCTTACAAGGCAAGGTCTAGATCAGCGTGAGCGCTAGGGTCTGAAATTCCCTCCCCAACCCCTTTGGGGGTGTGTGTGTGTGCGCGCGTGGGGGGGTGTGTGTGACCGAAGTCGGGAACACCGGAGACACTTTTTTTTAAACAAAACTTTATTGGTAATAGTTTCAAATATGTTTACAACAGCACACTGTTCAAGAGGAAGTCGCGTCTTTCGCAGCACACAGGTTGACTCTGCGCCCACCCGGGGTCCCACCCTAGGCCTGAGAGCTCCACCTGGGATGGGGAGATAGTTCAGAGGGATAAACTTGGGGATGAACGGGGTGGTTCCCCACTTTTAAGAGGAAAATGCACAAATCAGAGAGGGAGAAGGGGTGATGGACAGTTGACAACTAAGCAGAGGCGTGCCCAGGATGGGGGGGGGGGCTGCCCAAGGCTACTAAAGGAATAAAACTGGCGACCCCTCCCCAGCAACCCTGGCCTTCAACTGTGGCCAGGAAGGGGAGGTGAGGGCTTGGCCTCTTCAACATCCTTTTTTTTTTGGGGGGGGTAGGGGGTGGGGGGGGTGGGGGGGGCGGTGGGATGTTGCCTTCCCAACCGAACTGAGAGGAAGCTGGGCATTAAAATCTAATTGAATAAAATTTAAGCTTTTGGGGGAAGTGCTGCTGGGAGGAAAGACCCCGGGCTCAGGGCTCCCTCTCTGTCTTTTCTGGGGACAACAACTCTTTGGCAGGGAGAGCAGGGGCAGCTGCTTGTCTGGGTCCCAGAGGCCAAGGATGAAGAAAGGTCTGTTGAGGCAGAAGCAAGTAGGGACTTCCTAAAAGGGCTGAGACCCTTCCAGGCTTGGCAGGGGATCCCCAGTTATGGGGGTCAGGGGACATTAGCAGCTTGGGGCAGAGGTTCAACCCCAGCTCCTTCCTTTATAAATTCAGCCTGCTTCCCAGCTTTGTTAAAAAGAATTTCAGGAGGGAGGATGGGAGAGGACATCAGAGAGGTAGAGGGAGGCAGGAAGGAGGCATTGGTGGAACTTAAGATTGTAAATTTGTTCTTTTAAAAATTCTTGCAAGCAGCCCCACTGAACATGTCACTAAAAATCTCTCCTTCCCAGGCAGAGTTTTTGTGAAGGGAAGGGTGGACTTTCCTTCATTTGCCCTTAATGAATGGTGCCTGTGGTTTTTTTGGGGGGGTGGGTGGGTGCTGGAGTTAAGTTTGGGCCCCTCTTTCCACACCCTGTCCCTGGATACACCAGCAAGACCTGGTCTAACTGGAACTGAGAAACTCGTTTAAAACAGGCAGAGGTGGGTTTGGGTGGGGAGTTAGGGAGGAGAAAGGCAAAAGCAATAGAAGGGGCAGGAGGACCAAGGAGGTGAGGGGACCAGCTAGTGTTTCCCTCTGACTATCTGGGCTTCCTGCTCCTCCTATCCTGGAGGGGAGATGGGGATGAAAATAGATACAAGGAACTCTGGGGCCCTCTGGCTGTTCAATCCAACCCTCCCCCCCACCCCCCTCAAAAAAAGAAAACCCACTGGGGCACAGGCACACCCCTAAAACTCAGAGAACTCCTTGCCACACTTTTCATTGATGGAGACTCGGATCTCTTCTTCCTCATAGTCGTCAAAGTTACTCGTGTCCCCAGGGCCTTTAAACTTTGGTATGAAAGGAGCTTCCACCTGGAGAGGGGTCAAGAATTATCCAGACCTCAGCAGTCACCAGAATCAGTCTTTACAATAAATGTGAATGGCCTAACTTTTGTGAGCTAACTCACTCTGATCCAGGCCTGTTCTTAGCATTATGTTGTAGACTAACCTTAACAACCCAAGATACTTATAGCTAGCTTACACCCATGGGGAAATTACTCCCCAGAGAAAGTTGTGTCTCCTGTCCAAGGTCAAAAATGATCCCAGAGTGGCCAAATGACTCTGGAATCCCATTTCTAGACTTCCATTGCTTTACTCGGCCTCCTTCAGGTAGACTCAGAGCTCAAGGCCTACTTTCAAATCCCTCCTCCCTTCTCATCTCTCCATTGACACCCAGCTTTTGTCTCTCCTTCCCCCACAAAAGCATTAGTGGGCCAAGAGAGGGGGTCCCACCTTCCTCTGGTAGATGGCAATCCAGTCAGTTGTGGCAAACCATTTGTGGTTCTTGATGTCATTGACCCCATTCTTGAGGTTCCCAAAGCGCTTGGTGAGATCCACCTGCAGGAGGTTCCGCAGCAGATCCTTCAGGTCAGAGCTGAAGTGGGATGGGAACCGCACCTGAAGAGGGAGTATAAGACAGGATGGGGAGCTGGCCAAGAGCCCAGGGAGCCCAGAAAATTGCCTTAGCCATTCAACAGTCCTACTGGGCAGTGGGCCCCAAATGTGAGTGTGCATTTGACTCTCATTAAAACAACTCATTGGATCTGCTGCAGTTTCCCATCCAGGTCTGGGTGGACCTAATAACTTGCAATTCTAGCCAACTCCCTTAGCATGCTTGAGAGGAGGCTATGTTGACGCCTGGTACTCTAAGGTCACTGCTATGATACTTCCCACTTTAGAGAAGAGGAAAATGAAGTTCAGAATGGAAAGTTAAACTGTCTGCTCCTGGCTACAGAAGTGACCTGGACTGGGCGATTCCATCTAGGGTCTGTTGGAGACTTTAGAACTTGCCTTCTTAACTGCTGTTCCCTAAGGTAGTCCTGCTGGGATCTGGAGGTTTCTGGAATATTCATGCTTATGAGAGAAATGATTATTTTTCTACTTCTCTTTGCACTGCTAAGGCTCTTCCAGCCTTAAGACTCAGCTCAACTCTTCCAGAAACTCTTCCAACACCCCGAGTCCATTGCCTTGTATGCAAGCAGTTGCTGAATTTACAGCCACAAGAACCAGCTCTATCCCTGCTCTGCCTCTTACGCGCTTGCTGCATGACCTTGGCCATGGCCTTTAACCTCTCTGGGCTGTTCCTGCCTCTCTGGCAGGGGGCAGATATCCCAGGGTTGCTTGAAGGAGAAAATAAAGCTGAGGGTGCATGGGACTGTATAGTTCTTTAGAATCTTCTATGGTTTTTTTCTTTTTTCCCACTGGGTCATTTTTTCAACAATTTCTATTCTACTTAATTTTTCTCTTACTGGCCTACTGTACAGTTGGTAATTTCTCCCAATCGTCCCAAGAGGCAGGTGGCTGGCACCCCAGTTCCCAGATGTGCAAGATTAGGCTAAGGAGACAGGGGTAAAGGGACTTGCCCAAGGTTTCAAAGTCAGTAAGTGATAGAACCAGCAGCTAGAGTGGGGTTGGCCCACCCAGGCTGACCTCAGAGCTGCTCCCATTTCCCGTGATTCTGCCCCAGTCACAACTCCCATGTGTAAATGCTGGGCCAGGGGGAGGGGTAGGCAGGTCCTCCTGGAGAGGTGGGTAAGTTGAGGACAGAGGTGGGGACCCCAATCCTCTAAGGCCCTTGGTGCCTATGATGATACCACACATATGCCTTTTATATAACTCTGCTTTCTTACTCCCTCAGAGCGCTGGGGTACAACTCAGGAGCACAGCCAGGCTGGGGTCTAAGCAGGGTGGCAACCACTGAATACCCAAATCCTCAGAGGTAGCTCTAGTAAGGAGTTGTATGCTGGACACCCTCAATGATGTGACTCTCAGTGAGTTCTGGGCACAGAGCACACCTGATTTCCTGCTGTGTAACTTGTGATCAGTGATGTTGAGGAGGATACTAGAGATGGGAAGAGCCTTGTATCAGGCAGAATGGGAGTTTGGGTGAGGCCTGGCCTTTTGGAGGTCTTGAAATTAGATAGTATGGTTGTGCCAGCTATTGGCCTCAGCATGGCCATTGTGCCCAGCTTTACTATCTGGCCTAGCTTAATGAACTTCTAGATTGTTCTGACAAGAAGGACTCCTCAGTGAGCAGGATGGGTGAGGAAGAGTCTATCTCATAGCTGAGCCCCCTCATTCAGGCCTCACCTTCCCAGAGACAATCTTCTCATAGATCTGGATGGGCTGGTCAGCAAAGAAGGGTGGGTAGCCGGCGGCCATTTCATAGATGAGCACCCCCAGGGCCCACCAGTCAACAGCTTTGTTGTAGCCCTGGAGTGAGAGGGTGAACAGGGTGAGGGGAATAGATTGAGGCAGGGATGTGAGTGGAGAGCACCTTGGCATCCTGGGGTGGGTGCAGGAGCACCTACTTTGCTCAGGATGATCTCAGGGGCTAGGTACTCGGGGGTTCCACACAAAGTCCAGGTGCGGCCTTTCACGCGCTTGGCAAAACCAAAGTCTGTCACCTGCAGACACAAAAAGAGCAGGTTGGCTGGGAGGGAGGGTTCAGGTCCAGGCTGCCTGGGGCTGCCCCTCGCCTGGCTCGGTGAGCACCTGAATATAGCCCTGCTGGTCAATGAGCAGGTTCTCCGGCTTCAAATCCCGGTAGATGAGGTCCAGCGAGTGCAGGTACTCGAAGGTCAAGACAATCTGGGCCGCATAGAAGCGGGCATGGGGCTCACTGGTGGGGACAAGCAGGAAGGAGATGGGTGAGTGCCACGGCTCATGCCCAGCAGGACTTGCCTGCCCCCAGAGAGTCCAGCAGGTGGGCCTATAGAGCCACCTCTGGTCCAGCTACCCAAAATGCACAAGCAAAGCAGCCTTATTCATATAAACCCAAAGTGGAAAGAGCCCAAATGCCCATCTACAGAGGAATGGAGTCACAGACTGTTCAATTCATACAATGGAATCCTACCCACCATCACCAGCATCAGGACCAACTCTAAACATACTCAAGCATCTATGTCAAAAATAGTTACATGAGGTGAAAGAAGAATGACACAAAAAGAACATGAGTTGTGTGAGTCCATTTATATCCAGCCCAAACCCAGACCAAACAAGTTGATGGTATTTGGAGCTGGAAAGGACAATGGCCTATCTCAGAGCAGTGATTTGCCAGGAAAGGCATTGAGGGAATTTTCTGCAGTGATATAAATGTTCTATATGGGGTTTTCGGTGGGGGTTACACTAGTGGATGCAAATATTAAAACTTAAGGAACAGACCTGTGCATTTTTTGGAAATTAAGTTCCTATTTTCATAAATAAAGAAAATAAAACAAAGCAAGTATTTAAAAACTGCATGGAACTTGGTAACTTAAAATCATGACATCTAAGCTACCATGTTTGTTGTGTTTTATTGTGGCTGAGATCCAGCAAATCCTTAGCTTGGGGGAACAAACAAAAACCCACAAGGACCTGGAGAGATCACTTGATAGTGTTCACCAGATAGCTTGACCTGGTGTGTTGGGGGCAGCTGGCTTACCTGAATCTTCCGATCCGCCGCAGGTGTGAGAACATCTCCCCACCAGGCACATACTCCATGACCATATATAAATTAGAGTTGTCCTGTTGGAAGCAGCAACTGGTCAGGGCTCTACTCCTTGAGCTCTGGACCTATCTGAAGACCTGGTGCTCAGGGCCAGCAGGTGTTCAGAATAAAGTGACAACAGTAACCCTGGCTCCCCAAATGAAGCATGTGCTGAGCAAGTGGTGCTGCGCACAGTGAACTACCTCTCATTTCCTTCTGCCTGGGAGGAGAAAGATACAGCTGTTCTTCTACCTACCGGGGGCAAAAGTGAGGACTGGCATGCCCAGGTTAGAGGGAGGTCACTGTGGCATCTCATGCTAGAACTGTCTTGGGCAAGGCTCTTGGCCATAGTCTGGCCACCTGTAAAATGTGACCAGGATGGACTGCAGAATTTGCAGCAAAATTTTTGGCAAAAATGATTACAGATTTCAATGTAGTTGTAGCACAGAATTAAACCAGGTTGGAGGCCCTGTCACTACTTGGTTGCAGCCCTTGAATGAACTCAAAGTCAGGACTTAGGATGGCACTTCTGAATAGATCAGTTGGGGTGCTCATGATGAGCTCAGAACTGTCAAGACAAGTCTGCCAGGTGGGACTGATATGACTCCCCATTTACAGATAGGAAAACTGTGGCTCAGGACAGTGAACTCCTTTGCCAGGATCACACGGCCAGGAAGTGCAGAGCCGGGGTTTGCACCTGTGTTCCAGGTGGTGTGGCACAGAGTGTGTGGCCATACTCATATGTCAAGTTCTTGCTGTAAACAGTGGTAGCAATGCTGGTGGAGTCAACAATGTTGGGGGGCTCACCCAACATTGAACAAGAGGCTGGCAGGTCCAGAAGTTGGATTTGGATTTAGCAGAGTCCCAGGGCACTCCTGTACAGGCATGTTCCTGTACTCCCTACCCCCATATCCCTCTTCAAGGGGTCTCGTTCTTGCCCTTCAGTGGGCCTGCCTTCTTGGACGGCCACTGGTTGTCCTTGGCTCCAGTCCCAGCTTTGAGAAGCAAGGTTGTACCTAGTCATCCTGGGCTGCTCCCCCTTCCCCTGATGGCTGGTACTCACTGTAGTGGCCCTAGCATTTTGCCCTCAGCAGCTGGGAATCCCACCTTGAAGGAGAACTCGAGTTTGACGAGGAACGGAAAATTGACAGCCTGCAGGATGCGCTTTTCGTTCAAGGTATGCTCGATCTGTTTCAGTTTCACCACCTGCAGGGGTGGGAACAAGGCAAGATGAGGGGACGTGAGAGGCACCTCCACTCCCTGGTGCCCAGATTAGGGTTGCCACTTCCTTTGAGTGCCTGAGGTCTGCTGGGTCAGGTGCTGAGGACACAATAAGATGACAGGGGCTGCCTGTTCCTTCATGGCATGCAGTTCAAGGCAAGAACACATGAGTTATCTAGCCTTATGGTCCAGAAGGGTCAGAGCTATGGTGGAGGAAGTGTAGGGACTGTGGATGCCCAGATAAAGCATTGGCAAAGTCTAAGAAGGAATCAGAGAATGTTTCCTGGACAAAGGGGCAGCTGCACTAATACTGAAAAGATACATGGGAGTAGCTACTCAGGAGTAGGGAGCTTAGAAACACCTTCCATCGAAAGTACCCCCCTACACCCACCAGAATCCTGGGCTAATTCCTGCTCCACCCTCAGCTGTCCCCAGCAGGTGCTTCGACACATATGACAAGAGTTCCTAGGGGTGTGCACTATGAGCATGCAGGCTTCGAAGTCCAGACACAGAGAGGGAAGAGACTGGCCCAAGGTCACATGCAGATAGTTAGGGTCAGGCTGGAGCGTGACACTCACAAATGACTGGGGAAGCAGGATTAAAATTTTGAGTAAAACAAAAATTTAAAAACTGACAACATGGGCCTCCCCGGTGGCACAGGGGATAAAGACAGTGCTATCAAGCTATCGGCAGCCACTGCAGCATGAGTTTGATCCATGGCCAGCCAAGGAGCAGCCCACATGACGCAGCAGACCTCTCCTGTCTCGCCCGCTCCTCTCTCAGTAGTGTCCTTCAGTAGATCTACCTGTTCTGTTCCCTGCCCTCTCTGGTGAATCACCCCCACCACCTCTGGTCTGTACCCTAGTTCTTGTATGCGTAAATAACTAAATCTTAAAAAAAATAAATAAAATAAAAATTGACAACACAATTAGTGCACAGGTTTTCAGCCTGTTTGGGACAACTTAAATTATATAAAATCAGCTCTTTCAACTTCTCTTCTTTTTTTCTGATAAAAATTTAACATCCAACAGAGAAGCATCATACGACACACGTTATGTTTTAAAGACTTAGTATAAGAAAAAAAATATGAAATGTCTCATTAAAAATACTTTTAACGTGGGTTACCTAGAATGAAATGATGCTGTAGATATATTCTAGCTTAATTATAGCACACTATTAAAGTTAGCTCCACCTGTTTCTTTCTTTTTTTTTTTAAAGATTTATTTATTTATGCATAGAAGAACTGGGGTGCAGGCGAGAGGTGTAGGGGGTAAGAAGATTCACCAGAGACAGAGTGGGGAACGGAACAGGCAGACTGACTGAAATACACTGCTGAGGGGAGCAGCAGGTGAGTCAGGAGAGGTCTGCTTTGCCTTGTGGGTCAGCTCCCTGGCCAGGGATCGAACCTGTGCTGAGGTAGCTGAGGATTGCCTCATAGTGCTGACATCTAACCACTTGCGCCACCAGGGATGCCCTCCACCTGTTACTTTTAACTTTTTAAAAGAAACTTCTAGAAGATTCAAAACCACATGTGGCTTGCGTTACATTTCTACCAGAGAGCACTGCCCCTGAGTATTTATTGCCTGGCCAAAAAGTGGGGTCTCAGAAGTATTTAAAGAAAGAAGGGTAATGTCACTTCCTGTGGGAAGATTTCAGGCTTTCTTGATACCTGGGAGGTGTCTGACCTGTCATAGTGCTTAGGTTGGCAGTGGTGGCCTACCTGGAAGGGAAGCTTAATGAAGGCAGCACCCTGTTCTCTGGCCCTCAGTCCTAGTACTTTATGGAGGCTAAGGAAATAGCTGGTGAGTGGATAGGTGGCAAGAGCACTCCAGGTGGCGAGGACAGCCCAGGCAAAGGCCATATGGGTGGGGCTGGGCTGTCTAGGAAGGCCGGGACTCACCTTCTGTTTGTCGAGGATCTTCATGGCAAAGTGGTTCCCAGTCTCCTTATGCTTCACTAGCATCACCCGCCCGAAGGAGCCCGTGCCAAGGGTCTTGATTCGTTCAAACTGATCCAAATGGGCTGTATTCTGTGGGTGGAGGGGTTGGGAGGGTCAGGGAACCCCTCACTGTGGCCTGCTTGTGGGGGCGGGGGTCTGTAGCATCCCCTCTGCCACCAGCAGAGGGGGCCCTGGGCAGCAGGTGGAGTGAGGGGGTTGAGGACAAAGAGTGGAAAAACAAGATGGCAGAGGGTGCATTCCTCCAAGAGGGCAGCAGAGGCCAGATCCAGTGCTGGCTTGGGGCCCAGGAGCTGCTGGCAGCTGCAAGGGGGGCAGGGGCTGCCAGTTGAAAGAGGGTGTTGGGGTAGGGGAGCATGGCAGTGGGCAACTGGGTACCTCCCCCAGGAGTCCCCATGGGCATTTAGGGGTAGGTCTGCAGCCCACCACAGGCACTAAAATCCTACCCATGTTACAGGGATGAAGCCAAGGGCCATTAACGTCCCCTTCCCTGAGCTCTGTACCTGGGGCGCTTACCTGAGCAGGACTTTCCCATTTTTTAAGAAAATCTTCTTTGGCTTTAGCTAAGAATTCTTTCACTGAAAGGAAGAGAAGGGAAAGTTAGGTAGAGTCACCATCACAACAGGGTGGACCCAGGCTTTTCCTTGGGAGATGCCCATTGGTGGAAAGTGAGGTGCAGTTGTCTCAACCCAGAACATGACCTTTTCCCTGTGCCTTCCTGTGCCCTGGCTGAGCCTGAGGGCAGCTTGCGGGGGGGGGGGGGGGGGGGGGGGGGGGAGGCCCTAATCTGGGCTGGGACCTGGGCTCCCTTTACTATAGAGAGGTGGGATCCAGTCTCAACTCTGCCCAAATGAGGTACAGAGTAACCCAGGGGTCACTCTCAGGGGGACATAGAGCAACACCCAGTCCAGCCCACCCCCACTCGCCCCAGTTCTGACCAACATTCCATGGCCAGGGATGCTGCCAGCTGAGGTATTTATAGCCTCAGGATTTGGCTGCTGCTCCCGCTCTTCTCTGGGGAGGCTGGCCCCGGGTGGAGGCCTCTGGGGCTCGGGTAGCAGGCGCCCTTGGGGGGCTCAGCTGTCGCCTTGGCCCCCAGCTAGCTATGTTACTGCCTTTGCCAATTGAGGGGCCCTGGCTCCTGAGTTGGTTCAAGGGAGGCCTTACCCAATACCACCCCTCCATGGGTCCCTCAGCACCCCAAGGTAAACACTGTTATCCTGCTAACAATGAAAACTTCCCTGGTGGACCCTAAGCCTGATGCTTGTCTTATTATCTTATTTGGCTCCTGGGCCAACTTTCTTTTTATCTGCCCTTCCCATTTAATACCCTAGAAAATGGAGGTTTGGAAAAAGGCATTCTTGCCAAAATGCTGAGATGCAGCCCAGCAAAGGACTCTGGGACCAGGTGGCATTCAGGTCCCTGGACTGGCTGTATGACCTTATGCAACTAATCTTACCTCTTTGGGCCTCAGTTTTCCTCATCTGTAAGATGGGGATAACAAGTAATGACCTGGCAGGGTAGTTGTGAGGACTGAATGAGTTAATCTTGGCAAAGGGAATTAGACAGTGGCTGGCACAGGGTTAGTGCGATAAAAATAACAGCTATGACTTTTGCTTTTTTTTTTTTTTAAAGATTTATTTATTTATGCATACAAGAACGGGGGTACAGGCCAGAGGTGTGGGGATCAATGAGATGATCCACTAGAGACAGAGTGGGGAACAGAACAGGCAGACTAACTGAAACACACTACTGAGGAGAGCAGCAGGCAAGACAGGAGAGGTCTGATGCGCCATGTGGGTAGCTCCCAGGTTGGCCAGGGACTGAACTTGTGCTGCAGAGGCTGCAGATAGCTTCACAGTGCTGTGCTTAACCCCTTGTGCCACCAGGGGGCCCGACTTTTGCTTTTAAGTAGTTTAATTGAGGCATAAAACACAGGGGAGGCGGTGGCGCAGCGGTTGAGCGCTGGGTTGCGAGGCTGCCCGCGGCCTCTGCGGCGCCGGTTCCATCCCTGGCTGCTCCCCGGCCACTGGAGGAGGGTCCCACGTGGCGCGCAGACCTCTCCTGCCGCCCGCTGCTCCCCTCAGCAGTGTACTTCAGTCCTTCTGCCTGCTCTGCTCCCCACTCTGGCTCTGGTGAATTCTCTCACCCTCCTGCGCTTCTGACTGTACCCAGTGCATGTATAAACAAACAAACAAAAACTAAATAAATAAATAAATAAAACATGCCTCTATAAAAAAAAAAAAAAAAAACAAAAACACAGGGGAGGGCCTGAGTTCAATCCCCAGCCAGGGAGCTAACCCAGATGGCACAGCAGACCTCTCCTGTCTCGCCTCCTGCTCCACTCAGCAGTATATTTTGGGAGATCTGCCTGTTCTGTTCCCCACTCTGTTTCTGGTGAATCCTTTCACCTTCCCTTCCCCCCCCCCCCCAACTCTGGCCTACACCTCAGCTCTTCTACACAAAATACAATCTTTAAAAAAACAAACAAAACAACAACAGGAAAAACACAGGGGTGTATCAAGTTCTCAAATCCTAGATGCTTAGCCTGACAAATTCTTCCATCATGAACCTGTCCTCACAACCTACCCGGAGCCAGGCATGTTGTAGGGGCTCCTCTGTATGCCATTCCTATGATGAGTGCTTGATTTCTATGCTTCATTCTGATCCTGCCCGGTCAGAGCTGCTCTTACTCCCACTGTACAGCTGAGAAGACTGAGCAAGCCTGAGGTTGCCTGCCCCACTAAGTACAAGTGGTCCAAGCACACAGGGCAGCCCGCAACAGAGCTGTCCTCAACGCCCTGATGTTCCCAGGACGGGCGCTACCCTGATGTGTCCGGCCTGTCCCATCTGAACAGAGAGCTGGGGATCCACCTGGCCTTTGCTCCCCCACTGTCCCCAAAGCTCTCCCTTAGTGTTAAGAGTGAAGAGCCCTCTATGGGGCTACAAGAGTGGCAGAATGGAGAGTGCTGACCAGACAAGTCTTGTTGAGGGTGACTGGGAAAAGAGGGCAAGAAATGGTCAAGACTCATAGTCTGGCACTTGACTGGGTGCCAAATTGTCCAAGAGACCTCCCTGAACCTGGGACAACACACTTTACCCCAACGCTGTCACCAGCAGAAACTTTTAGACACACAACACCTCCTTTGGAAATCTCGAAACAATGCGCTCTGAATTCTAGATGGGGTTGGGGAGGGAAAGGATACCTCCTTGGGACTCTGATCTACCCACCCAAGAAGGCAGAGAGCAAGGGGCTTGGGAAGAATCTAGAATCAGCTGGCCCAAAAGAACTGCCATGTCTGTCTTGTTCTTTTTCGCGTCTCAGTGGGGCTGCACCTCTGCTGTCTGCTGATACCCTCCTGACAGGTCCACAGGGTGCCTTAGTTTTACCATAGCCCTGCAAATGGTTCCCCCTGGTGCCAGAAGCTTGCCAGATTTGGGGATAGGACATGGGGGTGGGGGGTGGGGCAGACATAGGAGAAGCTGGTTCACAAAGGGATAATGAGGCGGGAACCACCAGAAGCCCCCCACTCACCTCTGCTTCCTGCCTCTTCAGCAGAGAATGTAATGAGGGGTGCAACAGGATAGGCTGATCTAGGGCCCACCTGCCCCTGGCCAGTGTGGCTCAGGAAGCAGGCTGTGGCTTAGGAGCCCAAAGGGTGCGGCACAGGTAGCCCAGGAAACGGACAGCCAGGTGGGCCCAGAGAAACAGCTGCAGCCACAGCTGGAAGGTGATCTCTGAGTCCCCACCCTGGCCACTGCCTGATCCCCTTTCCATCCCAGGCTTCCCTGGACTTTCCATGGACTCTCCCCTTTGCAGGGGGACCAGTAAATAGCAGGCCTCTGAGCCAGCTTTCTTGGGAGGGTCTCCAGGGACTGGGGAGGAGGAGCTGGTTGCCACGGATGCATTTAAAGGTACCTGCTCCTGGATGGCCAAGGTTTGCAAAGGACCTCCTTGGCAGGAGGCAGTGGGAAGATTTTCCAGAAGGTGTCCCTCTTGGCTGGCCAGTCTGCCCTGGGGTGGGGTGCTAAAGCTAACTTCCTGTACCAGGGACTTCACTGTTTTTGGATGCCAAGTTCTACCTCCCCTAGTGGGTGCTAGACTACCCAAAGGATGGCAGTGCCCACTGGGTAGAGGAGAAGGAGTTAAGACTCAGGTCCAGGCAGCAGCTAGGGGCTCCCTGGGGGCTAAAGAGGCCCCAGAGCCCTGTTAATTAGCTGAAAGAGCAGCCGGAGAGAAATGAGGCGGGAGTGGTGGTGAGCACCACCCTAACTCCTCCCTGATTCCTCTTTGAACCTGTAGCCCTCAAATCCTGCTATCCTGGGAGAAGTGGGTACATCTGCCTTTGTCTTGCTGCTCTATGGGGGTGGGTTGGGGAATGACTTTCTGGGATTTCCTTGGCCTCTGTCAAACCTTGCCCTGTGCTTGGCTTTGCTCATCCATGAAAGTCCAAACTGTAAATGAAAGGCTAAACCCAGAGGTAGGGGAGAGGGAGGCGGCTTTCATCATCTTCCTCCTTTCTGAATTCCAAAAGTAGTAGGGGATTAGTGGGAACTTCATGTAGAGTGCCCAGCACCCATAGCCCTTGCTGACAAGTCGCAGAGCGGGGAAACTTAGCCAGTTGCTGGCTTGCAGATTCTGCCACCCTACCCATGTCTCCACATGGGGGGGTGCCAGCTTCCACTCTGGCTATGATTCAGTTGGGGCTTGCACAGGAAACCCCAGACATCCCTTGAAAAGGCAGCAGGAAGGAGTCCACCACACTCCCATCCTGACAGTACCACCACCTCCTCCATCTGAAATAAGTGTCTTGGGAATTCTGGGGCATGGATACCCAGCCAGAGCTGGGGCTCCTGAGTTGGGCTGGCTAAGTCATCTAGTCAAGCTTGGATCTCCTGCTCTAGGCTGCACCACCTTCCAGTCTGAGCTGGATCCCAACATTGGACCAAAGCCCCATTCTGAACAGGACCTATTGTGTATTGGATAATTCCCCAGTCTGACTTGTAACCCAATATTAGGCTGGATCACTCTCCAGTCCCATAGACCCCCATTCTGTACTGGACCATTTGTCCATTATGATTTGACCCCAATACTGAGCTGGACCCCTACTCTGAACCATCCCTCTTTTTCTGAACTGGCCCAACCATCCCCCCAGGCTTTCCCAGATCACCAAATCCAGGACTGTTGGTAAGGGAGGGGTTTCCAGGGTCAGCCAGGGTTCTAGAGAGTCTTCCTCTCTACCTGCTCCCCAAGACTTGAGGGGCAGGGAGTATCTGGGAGTTGCTATAGCAACAGGGCTCAGCCTCACCATCGATGGATGCCATCACTCAGTCTTCCTCTCAAGGCACCAAAACTACGGTGGCTGGGAAGGCTCATGAGACCTGTGGCACCAGCGGGGCTGCCCATTCTCAGAGCCCTCCCTACAAAGGGAGTTAGGGGTTGTGAGGTGGTGGCAGTGAGAGGAACCCAACCGGAGACTCAGCAGATGCAAGGGAAGGTCAGACAGGACCTTCAGGCTTCTGTAGGCCACACTAGGCAAAGAAAAAAGCTACTTATGCAGGACCCTCTTGGGCACCCATACAACTGCCAATGGAGAGGTGTTTGGCTCGCCTGGACGTCTATAGGATGTTAGAGGGGAATAATACTTTCCATTGGGGGACTTCTTGGGGACATTTCTCACTCTCAGTGCTTGTCCCTGGAGCCTGAGGGATTCTGGGGGGCTTCTTCTCCCTGGCTCTGCCCGCTTTCCTGTAGGCCTGCTCCCAGGGGTGCTTTCAGCCAGTGCCAGCCAAGGCCTGCGTCCCATTTGGCTACCTGTCCCTGGGGCCTCTTGGGGCCGCTGTCCTCTCTTAATTCCTGCAGCTTGGTCAGAGTCCAGGGCTTGTCTTTTTTTTCCTCTGCTGTCTTAGCGTCTTACCTGAGCCCTTGCCCATGGCTTTAGCATTTTTGAGTATAGATTTCTCCCACCCCACCCCACCCCACCCCAGAATTTTTTCTTGACCCCTGCCCTCTTGGGAGAAGGCTGATGCTATCCTGCCCTGCACTGAGACATAGCACAAGTGGTTGCAGGATGCTGAAATGTGCCTGCTGAGTGAAGTTTAGGCATTTTCCCTACCCTAATCAGGCTAGTGTCTGGCAGATGAAATTCAGGTGCCCCCTGCAGGCTGGCCTGGCTACTGCCCCCACCCCTGCAAATTTTGTCTAACTCCATCCTCTCAGAATCAGAGCTTGGAAGCAAAAAAAGGTTGTCCTTCCTCATCCTTTTTCCTTCTCCTACAAGCCCCTGGAAAGAAGCACAGCTTAGTTTCTCCAAGTGTGACATAGGTCCCACTGGCAAGGCATGAAATAGTCTTAGAAATGTTTCACTTTCCTAGTTACACTGTACTTCAACATGCATCAAAAAGAATATAGTTGACATAGCTATCCCATGATTTCATTCGTATTACTGCTTAGGATGGATCAGGGTTTACATTTGAACCAAAGTGATTCCAAATTTTTATTATATTAAATTAATATAAGTGACTAGAGCAAAATCAGGGCGGCAGCTTGAGAATGTCTGGGGTCCAGGAAGTTGGCTGGTAGGTGGGTCTGGGTGTGAATCCTGCCTCTGCGACATCGTCCATGTCAAACTCAGAAAGCTCTTTTGGAAGATTCATATAATGGCTGGTTATGAAAATCACTTGAGAAGATAAATCTACAAAACCACTTAGCTGGTACATCCTAGTTGGTCAATAAACAGTAGCACTATTTCATCATTATACTTCATTTCTGGGTGTCAAGCCTATCTTCTGAGAGAACTAGTGGTTCCTTCAGGAGCCTCTGATCTATTTCTTGGGAATACTTTTCCCTGTTAAGCTTTCCACTCCCCACCCCATGTGTCTGATATGTCTTGAAAGTTTTCCAGGACTATGTCATCTCCCCAACTTTCAAATGAGGCACTGCAATATATAGCTGCCTGCTTCCATCTCCCACCTCCTAGCCAGCCTCACCTGCTAGGGGCCCTGTTGCTCCCCTCTGCCAAGTCCCCTCCAAGCTCATGCCCAGACCTTTTTTGGTCACTATCCACCTGCTCCTCTGTCATCAAGTGCTCAGCTACAGGCACTTGCCTCCTCACCCTCCGCCCATTGGTGACATGTCAGGCCTCCCCATGGCTACTCAATGACTTTTCTGCCATTATTTGAATCTGTATGGGGATAAAGTTTTGGGGTTTTTATGCCCAGATCTTTCTGGGAAAGGACATTTGAAGCACTAAGATGCTGGGGTTTGAGACCAGTAACTGGGAAGGGTATATTTAGATGTGACCTCTTCTTTTTTATTTTTTCCCCAGCTCTGAGTATTTCTGGGAAGCAAGAAAGGGATCCGAGCTTCTTGGCCTTTAGGCCTGGAGTGATAACAATATTTAAGAATTGGAGGAATTGAGGAAGGGGCTTGAGGCCATTCTGAATGAAGGCATTTCTAGAAAAAGGATGTCTTTCTCTGCCTGGTTGGAAAAGGCCAACAATCTGGGAGTTGTGTGTACATGTGTGTGTGTGTGGGGGGGGGAGGGGACAGACCTCTCTCTAGCTGAGCCAAGGGAATGATCAGAATTTGTGTGTCCCTGGGCAAGGCAAGTCATTAGATGTCACCCATTACTCTCTCCCACCTGCTCTGATTCCCCTTCTCACCATCCCAGCTCAAGCTGAATGAACCCTGCTAAATCCAGACTCTTCATCACCCACTTTTCATCTTGAGCCAGGAGCCGGTGAAGAAGCCCAAGGGACTGGGTGAATGACGGAGCCTCAATTGTGAAACAACCATTTATTGAGGGGCCCTTCACAGAACCTAGAGCTCACTGCACAGCAGGCCTTGGGAAGGAGTTCTGCTGCTGCCACCCACCCCAACTCGGGAAAGAGGGCGACGCAATGAATCCCAACACAATTGGCTCAAACTTGGCTTTGAAAGCACCAAAACAGTTCTCTAGGTTCACGAACAGTCTGCCACCCCAGCCAGGGACAGACGCGTGTTTGGAGGAGGGAGCACAAGCAGAGCGGCAAAGTGACAGAATGAGAGGGGGGCAGAGAGACCCAGAAAGATCCTGTCCCCCATGCCAAGTGACACAGAAGGGAAATACAATGCTGGAGGTGGCTCTGGGAAATGCATAAGGGGGGCAGAATGTTTGTTTTTTTTGGGGGGGGAGTGATAAGGTGAAGAGGGAAGGGCATGAGAAAGATGGCGGGGGCTGGAGGGGGGAGGGGTGTGGTCACCAAGTGGCCAAGGTTCCTGCATGGGGAAGGCAGACCCCACAGCACTCCCAGACTGGTACAAGCCTGGGGCAGGGCCTGACAGTGCGTCCCACCTGTGGGAGAGGTGAGTTAGGAAGAGAGGGATGAGAATGTGGAGAGAGGGGTCAGGAGAGGAGGGGGTGGGGTGGTGACAGGGGCCCACGTAGGGCCCAGGCGGTCATACGTGCCACGGTTGGCAGTGACAGCTGGGGGGGACACAATCTTTGCAGTGGAGGACGGCCTCTGGCCACAGGGGTCCCTACAGGAGTCTTCTACTTGTCCTCAGGCCCAATCTTAGACAAACAGGGGAAAGGGGCGCTGAGGGGCCATCAGTAAGAAATGGGGGGGGGTCTGGGGGAGGGGCCGGGCGGTGATGGGCGGGGGGCTGGCAGCGCGGGGCCGGGATCGGGGTCACGGCCCCGGCACTCACCGCTCTCCTGCTCGCTGCCCTTCTTGGCGGCGGCGGCGTTGCCCATTGCGGCGGCGGCCGGGGCCGATCCCGGAGCTGTGGCGCGGCGGGTGCTGGCGGCGACCGGCGGCCCCGGAGCGCGCTGGGCGGCGGCGGCGGCGGCCCCTCGGGTTGGCTGCGCTGGCTGCGGCGCCGCGACCCCCGCCCAGCCCTGCTTCCCGCGTCTCTCCGCGCCCGCCCGCCCGGGAACCTCAGCCCAAGTCCGCTGCTGTCCGTGACGCCCCCGCAGCCCGCCGCTCATTGGCCTAGGCTGTCCTGACTGACGGCGCCACGCCGCCGCGCATTGGCTTGCCGCCACCCTCCCGTGCCGCCATTGGCTCTCGGCCCGTGACGCCAGCCGCGGACACAGGCCCACTAGCGCGCTCGCGAGGCCCCAGTGGGGCGGGCAAACGCGCCCGATTGGCCCGGGCTCCGCACAGGGCCCGGGGCCCACCCAGCGAAGCCGCCAATTGGCGGAGGTGCGCTGCCCCGACAGCCTTCCGCAGAACGTACGGTGTCAATACCGGGGTGAGAGGGCGGGGCGCAGACGCTGCCTGCTGCTCGGGCCGGCCGGGCGGGGCGGCGGAGGCTGGCGGGCGGCCGCGGCGCGCTGCGCTCCGAGACCAGGAGGCGGTCCGGAGGGCCCTAGTCCTGCCTCGTGCGCGCCGCAGTCTCCCGCCCCCGCTCAGTGCGGCAGCGGCCGCGAGCCAGCCAAGGTTGGCGCCGCGGCCCCCACCCCCGGCGCAGCCGCCGTCCACCTGCCAGCGGAGGAGGGGCGCTGCCTGCGCCGAGGGTCAGAGGTCGGCCGGCCGCCGGCAGTCATCCTACTGAAGGCCTGGCGCTGGACAGTTGCGCAGGCCCGGGGTCCAGGCCAGGGTGGGAGAGATGGAGTGGGACTGGGGTCCTTCGGTCTTCCCCAGCCACAACCTGATCTGCGGGAGGATGCTGGGTCCTGGGAGCAAGGAGCGGTTGGAAGACCGCCCACCCTGGGCTCGTGCCTCTAGTAAGAGTAGGCACACGTTAAATACATTACTTAGCACCACACTCCTCTCACGTTGGTAGTTATCACTCCCATTTTACAGAGGAGGAATTCTGGGGCACAGCCAGGCTGAGGATTCCCTTTGTCTGGGCAAAGGGAACTTGTTCTGGAGCAGAGAAGTGGAGAGATGCCTCTCCCTTCAGGGTGTCCTTTCAAATTACACACAGCCTGAGAAAGGTCAGGATTTCCCAACTGTCTCATTACTGTCATTGGGGTCTGGATTATTCTTTGCCAAGGGCGCTGTCTCGTGTACTGTAAGGTGTTCAGCAGCATCCCGTTTCTACTCCCTGGTTGTCAGCAGCACTTCCTCTCCCCCACCAGCTGTGACAACCAAAACCATCTAGAGACATAGTTAAATGTGCCCTGGAGAGCAAAATTGCACCCCCACCCCAATTTAGGACCACTGAAGTGGAGGAAGGCCCAAAGGCTGGGAGAAAGGCAGGGAACTAGATGGGTCAGTTTTCATTTGGAGGGGCTAGCTGGTTTCAGGTCTGTAATCTAAAGGCTGCTTTGCCTAGACACACACAAGCACTCTACCAAGCAGCTATCTGCATTCAGTTTTGAGGTCCACCAGTTCCACCAGTCCCAGGGAGGCAAGAGCTGGGGTTCTTTTGTGAGTTACAGGGATATGGCTCACTGGCCAAACCACTCCACTTTGGGATGTTGGGTTACAAGGTTAAGTGAAATTTTTTATTTATGCACACAAGAACTGGGGTATAGGCCAGAGGTCTGATAGGTGAAAGGATTCACTGGAGAGTGGGAAGAGTGGGGAGCATAACCAGAGAGTGGGGAACATAACAGGCAGATTGACAGATGGCCAGCCAGGGATCAAACTCATGCTGCAGAGGCTGTGAATAGCTCCACAGTGCTGTGCTTAACCCCTTGTGTCACCAGGGAGGCCTGGTTAAGTGAAATTTAAGAAAGTGTTGATGTATATGTGCTTGGATCACAATGTTAATTTCTTCTTGTGGGTCAAGGACAAAATGAAAAATCACTGGTTATGCTCTAGCTCCAGAACAGATGGGTTGCTCAAGTTTTGATAAAGGAAAATCCCTCCCTGAACATCAGTCAGGAATACGAGACAAGTTTATCCCTCATGTTAAGAGATGGACAAAGCTGCCTCAGTCTACCAGACATGAAAACATAAGAAGTCCATCTAGATGAAGTGCTTTTTATTTTTAGACCAACCAAACATTTAATATAAAAACCTTTAATATACAAACTGCAATCATAACAGCATCCACATAGCAGCGAGGGGATAGGGCATGGGGATGGGGAGGGAAGTTATTTTGTTTCCTACCGCTTCCCTTGCTTGCAATCACTCCTGGTCTGTGGAAGAATCAGGTCTTCGGCAGAGGGCAGATCATAACAGCCAGAGGCAGAGGGGCTCTGAGGCTGGCACTGAAACCAAGAACAGCAAGACCCTCTAACATGTCATTCCCCCACCAAGGCAAGCCAGGTCCAGTTAAGAGAGAAAAGTAAAGTGGTGATCAAGAGGAGCATCAACCACCAATTCTCAGCATCCTGATGATCACAACTTTGGGACTCATGGATTGGACAGACTTAAAAATTGTCCTGGGAGGACAAAAATTGTATGAGTCCATATTCTAACCAAGATTCCTTGCCTGTGACTCCAGAAAGCTGGGTGGATCTGCTCAGATGTTTGGGAAGGGCGAGGAATGACAGAGGCTTTGGCCCAACTGGACTGAAGCTTTGCCAGTCACTGACCAAGAACATTAAGGCAGACTGGGGAGGTCTTCGGGAAGAGCTTTGGTTCAATGGTACTCACAGAAGTGGTGTGGCACAATGGCCCAGTTGGAATGTATAGTATGTGTGTGTGTAAGAGACAAAGGACACAAATTAAAAAGAATTCAAAACTGAAGTCCTGCCTCTTACAGCCCTGGGCAGTAGAAGTGAGGTGATCCTTCCAGACCAGGGCCAGGAAGAGACCTGAGGCTTGTCTTTCTTTGGGGCCAAGTTTGACTGGCCTAGATATGGTTGATGGCCCCAGAGACTTCCTCATGGCCCCATAGGACTCTCAGGGAGGTCTAACTTTCTCTCCAGATGTTATGGCTGGACCCAGGTAGGCCTGGGTTCTTGCAGTTAGATGCAGTCCATGGAGTTCTCGGGGAGGAGGCTAGGGATGCAGCCAGGGAGCCCCAGGCCCTTCATGGGCGTGCAGCTGAGGGGGAAGCCACAGCCCAGGGTAGGGTCCTCATTCTCCAAGGCCTCCAGCTTATCCACATTGTTGTCCCAATTGATGTGGAAACGGGTCACCCGGGGGTTTGAAGCCAAGATGTTTCGCTGGAGCTAGGAAGAGGAATGTCAGCCCTTGTTAGCATGCCCCCCTTACAACACCCACAGAGCACCCCCCCAACTTCCCCACCCCAAGCCCAGGAAGAGCAGATCTTGCTTATTCCATCACCACCAATAACTCCATATGGAACTTCAAACCTATTTAATCTTCATTCATTGAAGTGTATTTCTGAGAAATAGAGACCCTTTTTCTCTTTGTAGCCTGCAGCTCTAAGCTAAGCATTGACTTGAAAACCTAAGTGACCCCAGCTTCCAATTTCACCATCTCAACCGTCCCCCGAATGCAAAGGAGCTTGTCTGAAGCATTTAGTGCAGGCCCCACCTGAGAGAAGTCTGGCTTTGGGGGTGGGTTCTCCCGAAGCTCGGGGTTTGGGTACTCGTTGTTGACATAGTAGCCCACTCGGATGAACTCTTGTCCACGGTAGGTACAGGTGATGAGGACCACAGTCACACCCACCGCATCTGTCTCAGGGATCAGGGATGGGTTGGGGGCATCAGCCTAGAGGAAACACATCCTGGGCCTTAGCATTGATTATCAGTCATGCCTTGACTAGTAATACAATGATTCTGAAGCAGTAATTTACTAAGCTAAATGTATGATCTCTGCCCTCAGTCTTCAATCAAATGGGGAAGTGTTTCAATCAAATATGCAAATATCTAGAAATGCTGAATGTCACAGCTGCCATAAAGGAGGAACATCTGGTGTGGAGAAGTGAGGAAGGAGGAGGATGGCATTAGGTGAGGCTAACTAGGTGAACAGGTAAGGACCAAGTCACACAGGGTCTGTTGGGCCAGTGAAGGACCTGTGAAAGAGTAAGAATATTTAGCAAGAGGTAAGTACCACATCACCTGTGGCCTGAAAAAATGAAGCTGGCTGTGTGTGGAGCTGTGACAGAAGGAGAGCTGTAGTGGGAGCAGTGGGTCAGGCAGGAGGGGCCTATGGTCAGAGGATAGTGGCCTAGATCAGGCAGCAGAGAAGGACAGAGGTGGGCAGACTTGGGGTTTATTGTTATGGACAGGACTGGCTATATAGTTGGTGCAAAATGAAAGCAAAATAAAACAAAAAAGCAGAGGCCCATATTCAAATAGAAGTTTCTACCAGCAACAGAATGTTATGGCAGGTGTTGACAAATGTGAGGACATGGATTGTAGATTTAGGAAGCTGGCCCTGGTTGTGGAGTGGATGCAGGTGGATGAGGGGTTAGGTGATGAGATGTGGTGGCTGAGACTGGGGAGGGGACAGTAGAGGTGGAAGGAAGTGAGTGGGTTTGAGCAGAGGCTCTCCAACTTTATTGTGTGTAAGAATCACACTAAATCTGCATTCTGACCACCTCTTTGATGCTGCATTAAAGATCTATTCAGCAGCTACAGTGGATCTTCATTATTCATGGAGTTCATATTTTCGAATTCACCTACTCACTAAAATTTATTTGTAACACCAAAATCAATATTTTGGGTATAGATTCATAGTGTTTGAGGACATGTACAGGATGGGGTAGAAATCTGAGTTGTTTGATGAGTATTACCAGCTGAGGTCGAACAAGGCAACACTCCAACTTCCTATATCAGTGCTTACACTGTTAACAAGTGTCCTTTTCTCAAGTCTATTTAGTGTCACATTTTTATACTTTTTGTTGTTGATTTAAAATGGCTCCCAGTGCTGAGTGCTGCCTCTGAGTGCAAGAACATTTTGATGTCATGAGTTACAGTGTTGTTGGCTATGAGTTCAATGCAAATGCACCAACAATAACTCTAAAACAGAACAGAGGATTATGTATTGTCTGGTTGACACAGATGTAATAGCAGAAGCCTAACCATATATCTCCTCTAGAAGCAGTGGTTCAGTATTCAGTAATTTACTACTTCAGTGTTGACAGCAGCCTTATAGAACATAATTTCTGTGAATAATGAGATTCAAATGTAAATGAGTGACTTACGATAATAGCTATGATACGTAAGTGGAGGAAAGGTACCAATGAGAGGTCAGACACTTCCTGAAAGCAGAGCCATGATTTGAACCTTAACTTTCCATCAATGAGCCACACATTGTACACTTTTGGTAGAAAGGATATTTCAAAATGTCAAGGCCTAAGGCCTCATCTTTCTTACCTGAAAGACAAACATGTGTCTCCCTGCTGGGACAGGGCCAACCAGTACAGAGTCTAGGATTTGATCAAACTCCTCACTCTCAGCTGAGCCAACGTAGATGATTTTCCACTCTAGGTCTGCAAGGAAATGACTGTTAAGGAATTGAAATAGTTTGACAGCAAGAAGGCAGAGAAAAAGTTTTTTCATGTTAGTTTGGGACAGATACTTAATACACTGAAAGATTCTTATTCTCAAGAACACTTGACACCTGCTGGGCATTGGGCCCTTGACACAGGGGCGGATGTGAAGCTCTGCTTCCAGTGGGGATATTTCCGTGGGCCCAGCTTTGCAGGGCGACCTTGACTCTGTACCTCCAGGGTAACGCTCAGAGCCTAAGGATGAACCGTATGGCAGAGGCTGAATTAAGAGCCATGTGACTGAACCATGCTTAGGAGGGAATAGCAGGGAGTTGGGCCATTTCAGGGCCCTGCCCACTGGGTGCTGGGATAGAAAGCCGCATCCTCTTTCACACACAGGGACTGGTGCCACCAGACTGAGTAGATCCCTCGACAACTGGGACAGGGCAGTAGATTCCAATTCAGCAGGAGAGCCAGGCCGTAGGAGGGCAAGATGAGGCCACTAGGGGAGCTAGCCAGGCCCCAGGTCTTCCAGATCCGGGACCAAGTTAGGTCTACTCATGGACATCCAGGCAACAGAGACTCAGTCAACAGATGCAGCATCCTAGGGCTATCCTCGGAACCCTAGCTCTCATGTACCTTATATATTAGGAGGGCCCCATTCCTGAGTATGTAAGATATGAAAGGAAAAGAGCTTAAAGAGACCCTGCCTGTCAATCACAGGAGGTTCCCAGTGACCACTGCCTCTTGCAGAAGGTCCAAGTGTATCAGGGACAAGGTCAGGCTAGTACAGGGAAGCTTGGCAGAGACCTGAAAATTATTTTAGGTTCTTTGAAATTACACAACCTACTGCTCCAGCAACTGGGGGATGTTTCACAAGTTGTGATTTTCACAGGAAGCAAACACTCTTGGAAGCTGCTCTGGTCCTTGGTCCGGTGTCCCATAAGTGCATCCAATTTCTGAAGCACACAGATGCCGGGCCATGTCTGTGGAGGTTTGTCACCTGAGCTCCAAGCTCTTCCTCGATACACTGGCTTCCTGTACCTTGCAGCTTCACTCTGATCTCCTACTCAGTGGCTCCAGCAGGTGTGCGGGACACATTGACCATCAGGCTCAGTAGGGGTCAGTCAAGCTCTAGTCTCTTATAATTTGCAGGGAGGAGTTAAGTTTTTTGATTTATCTTTCTTACTAATAGTGACACAACTAGGCATAATATTTTTTGGATGGACAAAAACCAAACCAGTTCTGTTCTTACCTCCTAAGAACAAGCTTCTAAGCTCTATATTTTGGCATCTTTCTACTGGCTTTTTCCCCATCACCAGTGAAGTCAAATATATGTGTATTTAACTTATATGCTGGGGGAGAGACAGAATGTGGAGAATGAAATAGAGCAAGCCCCAGTGAATGCCATAGGTACTTAAGTCCAATACTGTTGGCAAAACCTAAATAAAGATGGTGTGGGTGCTGACCAGAAGAACAAGTTCACTGCAGTTGGCCAAATGAGCCACAGTAGGCCAGCAAACAGGTCAGAAAGAAACCAGAGAATGAACTGAGGACCACAGAGAAATACTGAATCAACAATTAGAGGAGCTGACAAAAACATCCAGAGTAGGTAAAGGATGACTAAAACAAGAACCTACAAATTGGAATCACTTAAACTGGCTGAAGTTTAAGTGTACATTTCAGTTTTGACTGTAACCGTTTTTTAGAAATAGTCAGAGGACGTCAATCACTAGTATAGCACAAACTTACTCCTATGGAAAACAGGACAGGATTATACTTTATATGTTGTATACCTAATCATTAAGGCAATTTTCAAGGGTAAATTGATAGCATTACATTTTGTCTTTATGCCCCCAAATTAACAATCTAACCCCTGTGCAAAATTCTATATGAAAATCAAACCAAAACCAGCCACAAGACTAAAGATATGTAAAAAATTATTGTACTTGAGGGCCTCCCCGGTGGCGCAGCGGTTGAGCGCTGGGTTGTGAAGCTGTATGCAGCCTCTGCAGCGCCTTTTTGATCCCCGGCCACTGGGTGAGGGTCCCACATGGCGCGCAGACTTCTTCTGCCGCCTGCTGCTCCCCTCAGCAGTGTACTTCGGTCCTTCTGCCTGCTCTGCTCCCCGCTCTGGCTCTGGTGAATTCTCTCACCCTCCCGCATTTCTGACTGTACCCCAGTGCTTGTATAAATAAATAAACAAATCTTTAAAAAAAAAAATATTGTACTTGAGCTAGCCGGAGAAATTTGTTTCCTGTCTCTCTCTCTCTTTTTTTTTTAAAGATCTACTTATTTATGCATACAAGAACTGGGGTGTAGGCCAGAGGTGGGGGGGGGTAGAGGATTCACCAGAGACAGAGTGGGGAGCAGAACAGGTGAATCAACTGAAATACAGTGCTGAGGGGGAGCAGCAGGTGAGACATGGTCTGCTGTGCCATGTGGGTTAGCTCCCTGGCAGGGGATAGGACTCATGCCACAGTGGCTGGCAATAGCTTGATAGCACTGAGACTTTAACCCCCATGCCACCAGGGAGGCCCCACTCTTCCTGTTTTAATATGTCTTTTTCAATTTATCCTTCACCTTTGTTCATAATCGTGTTGTGTAGATGAACATGGTCTGACTACTGTGTGTTCACTGTAACAACCGACTTCATGACTTATTCAGACAGTGTCTGTTGAGTTTCTCAAAGAAATGGGGGGGACATAGTGAATGTATTAAACGTGGACCCAGGCATTGGAAATATCTATTTCCACATGCTGATGAGAAAAGAGAGCAAAAAGGGCCTGGAGCCCTTAGGAAATGGGATCAGCTGACGGGGTTTTACGTGTTGTCAGATCTCCAGTTGCCAGTGTCAGGGTAACAGGACTGATAGGCTTCTCCAGGATCTGAGAGATTTCTAAAGCCAGGCCCACTCAAACTGGCCCACTGTTTGAGAGGCAGAAAACGGATTCTCTGCTCTGTAGGAAGGGGGCCAAGAGGCAGAAAGCAAGTCAGCAGGCCAGAGTCACAAATAGCCCGAGGGGTAGAACCAAAGTGCTTGGATTTCCAGGCCAGAGCTTGCTTTTAGACTGGAATTTCTCGGAGCAAAAGCTTTCCTGGCTGGGTGTAATTAATAATAGCACCCCCTTCACTCTTTCAAGAGTGTTCTGATGTGGAAATAGATCTATGGTCAGTCCTATTTATGTTCCTCTTCTAAAATAGGAGATGCATGCTTTCTTTCCCAAGTTATAGCAAAGAGAAAGAACCCTGGACTCAGAACTCTGACATAAATTCTAGTGTCAACATTTCTACAAACTGGCTGTGTGACCTTGGAGAAGTCATTCCATCTCTGTTAAAAAATAATGACCAGGGCCTCCCTGGTGGTGCAGGGGCTAAAGACAGCAATGTGAAGCTCTCACCAGCCACTGTTGCATGAGTTCCATCCCCCGCCAGCCAGGGAGCAACCCACATAGTACAGCAGACCTCTCCTGTCTCCCTGCTGATCCCCTCAGCAGTATATTTCTGGCAATCTGCCTGTTCTCCCACTCTCTCTGATGAATCCTCTCTTCCCCCCACTACTCTCACCCCGCACCTCTGGTCTACACCCCAGTGCTTGAATACACAAATAAATCTTTAGGGCCTCCCTGGTGGCGCAAGGGGTTAAGATGCAACCTATGAAGCAATCCGCAGCCACTGCAGCTCAAGTTCGATCTCCGGCCAGAGAGCAACCCACATGGCGCAGCAGACCTCTCCTGACCCGCTGCTCCTCTCAGCAGTGTATTTCAGTCAGTCTGCCTGTTCTGTTCCTCACTCTGTCTCTGCTGGATCCTCCCACCCTGGCATGCCTCTGGCCTGTACCCCAGTTCTTGTATGCATAAATAAATAAATCTTAAAAAAAAAATCTTTAAAAAAATAAATAAAGAAAAAATAATGACCAGCAGCAGGTTGACTTTAGTCTTTCCTACTCTGAGTCCATAAACAGATTCGTAAAGTAACAGGGCAGGGGGCTTCCTAGGATTAAAAGTACTAGATAATGACCCTGAAACCACTTTAAACAGCAAGCAGTGCAAACAGGCCCAATTGAAACCCGATCTCCTGCCATCTGGGAACTGTGAATCCCATAACCTATTAGGTCTTTACATCTCCTCTTGGTTTTAAAATTAATCTTATTCCACAGTGTCATTCTACACTTTATTTATTTATTTACACCCTGCCTTGTTCCAGAAAGGATTTAACTGGGCTTATTCTATAGTTAGTCACAGGTTGATTCCTTAATTCAAATAGGAGAGAAACCAGGAAGAGATGGAACCATTGGCCCAGCTCAAACCCACATACATCTCATAAGGTATCAACCTCAAACTAATCCAGGTGGTTACTTTTTCCGGTATACCACCCACCCACCAAGAGGAGCTAGTCAACCCACCCAGACCTCTCAGTCTTCCTGATCTGCACTTCCTGAGCTGTTGCCAAGTCTCTTTTAACCATAAGTGGAAAAGTAACTTTATGCAGTATTTCCTCTTAAACATGGTGCCAGGACTCCCTGGGTGACCTTAGATTTTCCATTTTGATAAACATTTATTTAAAAGGTCTTTCACTTGGGCCTCCCTGGTGGCCTAGGGGTTAAGTCTCAGCACAAACACCACTATGGCCTGAGTTCCATCCCTGGCCAGGGAGCTGACCCACATATGGTGCAACAGACCTCTCCTGTCTCGCCCGCTGCTCCCCTTGGCAGTGTATTTCAGTAGATCCGCCTGTTCTGCTCCCCACTCTGTCTCTGGTGAATCATCTCTCCCTCCCACCCCCTTCTTCACCTCTGGCCTATACCCCAGTTCTCCTATGCATGAATATAAAAAAAACAAAAGGTCTTTCACTTTGTGGCTCCTGTCTTCTCATCTGTAAGATGAGAGCCATGTCCATCTTAATGCCACACAGATGAGTAAGTTCCTCTGTGAAAGCACCTTGGAAACATGCACAAAAGGTTGTGACTTGGGGCCTCCCTGGTGGCGCAGCGGTTGAGCGCTGGGTTGCGAAGTTGCCCGTTGCCTGCAGCCTCTGCAGCGCCGGTTCGATCCCCGGCTGCTCCCTGGCCACGGGAGAAGGGTCCCACATGGCGCGCAGGCCTCTCCTGACGCCCGCTACTCCCCTCAGCAGTGTACTTCGGTCCTTCTGCCTACTCTGCTCCCCGCTCTGGCTCTGGTGAATTATCTCACCCTCCCGCGCTTCTGACTGTACCCAGTGCTTGTATAAATAAATAAAAATAAATCTTTAAAAAAAAAAAAAAAGGTTCTGACTTCCCAGCTGATTATTTGAAGCCAGATACTGTCATGACTTAGCACCCCCAATCCCTTCCAGGTGACATCATCAAAAGTTTTGAAAAAATTTCTGCAGGTCAGCTGGAACCTGGCAGGCAGGCAGTGGGAACCTGCTAATGCTTGCCTGGCTATGCCACCTTTCAGATTTCAGTGTGTTCTCTGAAGCCCAAAATCAGAGAGGAGGGAGGAGCAGGAGATAGAGCCTCAAAGACTGGAGCTAGAAGCTGGGCTTCTCAGATGGAGCTCAAGAAGGGGCTGGGGGTCAGGCTAAAGAGAAGGGACACATGCTTTGGGGTATGTATTTTTGGATAGAAAATAAAATAGAAATGGGTGGGGAATGGGGTAGTTCGAATACCAGCAGGTTGGGGAGAGGATTACAGGGAGACAAATGAGGAGATGGGAGTGAGTGAGGTCTTGAGGCAAAGGGAAAAGAGGATCATCAGAGGGAAAAAGGATGAGTGGAGGGGTTCCACTGGGAAAAAACGGAGGGAGCTTGGGGAAGAGGTCTCCACAGGGAAAGTGGGAATTTCACGAGGAAAATGGGAGTAAGCTAAGGGTTCCCTAAGGAAAAATGGGAGGGAGCAGGAGGTTGGGGCCTCCCTAGGAAGAAAGGGAAGTGTAAGTGTCTCCTCATAGGAGAGTGAATGGATGGAAAGACTGGATGAATGGATCAGGGGTCTGGCCAGAAATAGAGTGGGGGGTTTCTTGCTACAGGGAAGAGAGAGTGACTGAGGGTTTCTGTAGATTAAAGAATGTAGACCAGGAAAACGGGTGCCCAGGACGGGCTCTACAGGAAAAATAGGGAGAGGCTGAGGTCTCCAAGGGGGAGATGGGAGTATCCTTGGGAAGGGAGTGGGGTTATCTGTGGGTAGGGTTGCAGTCTCCACGGGGAGTTTGGGGCTGGTGGGGAGGGGGCTCTCAGGGAGGTCAGGGTTGGCCCGGGGAAGGGGAAGGTCTCCACACAGGCCCAGGCTCACCGTCTGCCAGGGCCTCATTGCACTCGAAGCTGATCTCGAACCGGAAGGGGCTGTGGAAAGGGCTCGGATTCTCCAGCACAGTCACGTTCAGCACGGACACCTTGGCCATTGCCTCGCGGGGTCTCGGCTGAGGCCAGAGCCGGAGTCGAGCCCACGCCTGTGTCCTCTCCGGTGAGCCGAATAGCGTTGCCCGAAACCGCTCCCGCCTTCTCTCTCCGCAGACCAAAGTGCGTATCTCTTCCGCGCGCCTCCTTCAAATAGCGGGCCCCACCCCCCGGCCAATCACAGTCAACGCTCTCGGGAGGCGCGAGCGCATCCTCAGCCAATCCTGGAGCGCCTATCTGAGCGCGCCGAGACTTTCTGGACCAATCCGCGGAGCTCCCTCTCCGGGATGCGCGAGTGGGGCGGGACCATCTCTTGACTTCTTTGGGCGTTTGACAGGAACCAATCCTCAGCTTCTCCGACACGGAGGTCGCGGGAAGGGGTGGGCGGAGTCAGAGCGCGGAACTCCTCTCGGCCAATCCTGATGGTTTCCGCACCAACTTGTCTCGCCCCTCTGCCCGCCCTTCCAAGAGACACATTCCACTGCGGCAGCGCCGCCAACCGCCGAGCGGTGGCGCGCGATTCTCACTTAAGAATGTAGGAAGGGCGATGCTCCCTCCCGCGGTGATTGGCAGGCGGCAGTGGGGGCGGGAATAAAGCAGATTCTCTGAGAGATGATTGGCTAAGTTGACGGAGGGAGGCGGGAGAACAGAAAGATTGGTGCGGGGATTCGTGGGAAGGAGCGGAAGTCGGCGCGGTGAGGCGGCGTGAAGAGAGACCGGAGCAGCTTGCACTTCGGTCGGTAGGTGAGCGGTGTCTGGAGCGTCTCCAAGCGCCTCCTGGCCCCTCAAAGCCCAGCGGCCGGGGAGTCCGTTGTGAACGTTGTGAACGTTGGACACCCCAATGAGGGAAGACGGAGCGGCGTAACGCGACGGCGCACTCGGACGCGGGCCCCGGGAGTCGGTCTGGGTTCGAATCCCGCCCTCGCCCCCTCGTTGACCGCTGGGAGGTTTCAGGTGCACTTTATTTGTGGGAGTTCGAGGCCAGCCTCCGCCGCTCGGCTCCCGAGGCTACGTTTCTCTGCCTGTGACGGAGGCCGTGAATATTCGCTGACAAGACTTGTGCCTGTGTAAGACCGCTGAAAACCCCTCTCCGGCTCTGGTGGCCTCCAGACGCCTGCGCTCCCGCTCTGCTGCTACCCGCGACCACGCTGTCCTGGGAAAATAAACGCCGGCCACACAGCTAATATTATTTTTCTAGTAACCGCGTGTGTTTCTTTTCAGTTACAAAGGTGAAATTAGGGTCTTCCCTGGTGGCGCAAGGGGTTAAGGCACAGCACTATGAAGCTCAGTCCCGGCCAAGGAGCTACCCACATGGCGCAGCAGACCTCTCCTGACTCGCTGGCTGCTCCCCTCAGCAGTGGATTTCAGTAGATCTCCCTGTTCTGCTCCCCACACTGTCTCTGGTGAATCAGCTCACCCCTATGCCCCCCACACTTCGGGCCCCCCAGTTCTTGTATGCATAAATAAATCTTTTTTTTAAAGTGAAATTAATTGCATGTTGTGTATATTCCAGTATAGCCAGGATATTATATATTCTTTCTTTCTTTCTTTCTTTCTTTTTTGTGGGACCCTCGCCGGTGGCTGGGGATGGAACTGGCGCTACAGAGGCTGCGGGCAGCCTTGCAACCCAGCGCTCAACCGCTGCGCCACCAGGGGAGGCCCAGCCAGGATATTATTTCAACATACCATTAGTATGAAAAATGCAAATGAGAGATGTTCTTTTACAAGGTGTGACAGTGACAGCACATCTGTAATCTGGGGCACCACATCTTGTTCGGAAATGGTCTTGTGTTAGTTTTCATAACATTGACAGCTAATAAACGTAGATTTCATGTGCCCAGTGACCTGCAACGTTTTCCAGGAGCTCAGCTGTATGTCAAAATGTTTTTATATTAAAATGTTGACTGAAATTGAGCTACACCCAAAGGTTTGGCTGCACAGTGGCATTGACCACATTCAGGTGCTCCTGAGCCCCTGTGGCAAGTGGCACAGGCCTGAAACAAATTGAATCAATTATCTTAAATGTGAACTTAAAACATGAGTGGTTTTCTGTTCTTGGGATGAGAACAGCTCTTCAAGACTCTGCTTGCTTTGGTTCCTACTACCTACCCAGCTCCAACTTCAATCCAGTCAGATAGGCCCTCTTCCTTTGAGTTCTGACAAACTACTCCCAGCGAAGCCCCTGTACCCAGAACTCTTCCAGTTCTCAGCATGTCTGGTGCCTTCTTGTCATTCATGTTTCCCTGTTCAAGTGTCCCCAAGTCACAGAAACCTTCCCATGGTCCCCCAGGGTGTTAAAACTCACAGTGTGTTAGGGCTGAATAGCACTGATGAAGCCTGGAGCATTTCTCCTCAGCCACTTCTGTCTCCTTCCAATATTAAAGGTTCATGATGTGAGGCTTTTTGTGTTTACATCTCACTGTAAGTAGGGAAGGGGATTCTTTTTTTTGGTTAAAGGATTGATTTTTTTTCACTCCTTTAAAACAGTTTGACTACAAGAAAATTCACATTTATGGTTGGCTATACTTTCTTGGTAGTCGTTGGGCATATTTAGGACTTTATGTGACTGGAAAATCTAATTTTCCAATTATTCCCAAATGTTACCGGTTTACAAATGTTGTTTTCAATGATAAAATTGCCAAGTTGTTACACCTTCTAGATGTTTAATTTAACCTGTATTTATTCCAACTTTGTAGTTTCTTTTTTGCATTGTGGACCTTTTTTACCCTTTTTTTCTTTGCTCCAACCTCTTCATGGCCCCTAAAAACTCATCAGCCACAAGCATTATGTCTGTGTTGCTAGTGAAGAAAACTGCCCATCTATAATGCGTGTTCCACATCGCTGGCTGAATAATCTTCAATTGTAAATCAGATCATGAAACATATCTTAGAATGAAACTTAAGATCTTTACTGTGGCTTAGGAGGCCCTGCACGATGACCTCAGCTCACCTTTTGGGCATCATCTACCAGTCTCCCTCTTGTCAACACTCTCAAGCCCTGCTGGCTTTGTTTCCCATCTTTCAACACACGGGCTTAGTCCTGCTGCAGGGCATGGCACTTGCTGTTCCCTCTGCCTCAAATGTGCTTCCTTCACATAATTGCATGGCTGTCTCACTCCCATCATTTATGGTTCAACTCAAACGTCTCTCTCAATGAAACCTTCCCAGACTACCCTCATTAAATTAGCCTTTCCTAATTGTACCACCCTGCTTTATTATCTAAATAGCACTTACAGAATCTGTGCTTTCGCTGGTTTTAAATTGTGCTTATTATCCTGCATATCCCTCAGTAAATTGAAAGCTGATTGAGGGCAGAGATCTCACCTGGCTTATATTGACTTTTCTTTTTTTGTTGTTTTTGTTTTAAGATTTATTTATTTATGCATACAAGAACTGGGTTACAGGCCAGAGGTGCTGGGGCAGGGGATAGGGTTGAGAGGATTCACCAGAGACAGTGGGGGAACAGAACAGGCAGACCGACTGAAATACACTGCTGAGGGGAGCAGTGGGCAAGACAGGAGAGGTCTGCTGTGCCATGTGGGTCACCTCCCTGGTGGGGATGGAGCTCATGCTGCAGAGGCTGTGGACAGCTTCACAGTGCTGCACTTAACCCCTTGTGCCACCAGGGAGGCCCTATATTGACTTTTCAATGTCTTTCCAGAGCTTACATGGTAAGTCTTCAATGGATTTTAAGGCCTTAGCATAGTACCTAGAATGTGAAAAGAGCTCAATAAACACGAACTGTGAGTAGTAACATAGTAATAAGCAGATAAATTTTCATTCTTTTTTTTTTTTGGTTGGACCCTCGCCACCAGTGCCGCAGAGGCTGTGGGCAGCCTCACAGCCCAGTGCTCAACCGCTGCACCACCAGGGGAGGCCCAAATTTTCATTCTTATGTAATGTTTCATGTTTCACTTTTTCAGATCCACTTGATAAAGTATAAAAAATGCTCTAACAAAACATGCTTTGACACATTACTCAACTTAAGAAATAAAACTGTTGAAAGACTTTATATACCCCTGCCTCAAACCCATTCCTCTCTTTTTCCTCAAATGTAACTACAATCTTGAATTTCATGTTTATTTTTCTGTGTATGTTTGAACATAACTATAGGTAGGTGTCTTTAAACAATATGTATTCTATTTGCTATGTTCTACAGCTTTACAAATGGAATCTGTGCACAAGAGTTATAGTGGGCCTCAGACTGCTATCCTCAGATAAGCCTGTTTGCGGGGCCGCCCTGGTGGTAGAAGGGGTTAAGATGCAACCTATGAAGCTACCCGCAGCCACTGCAGCACAAGTTCAATCCCTGGCCAGGGAGGTGACCCACATGGTGCAGCAGACCTCTCCTGTCTCACCTGCTGCTCCCCTCAGCAATGTATTTCAGTCAGTCTGTCTATTCTGCTCCCCACTTGTCTCTGGTGAATCCTCTCGCTCCCCCCACTCCCTGCCCCAGCACCTCTGGCCTGTACCACAGTTCTTATATGCATAAATAAATAAATCTTAAAAAAAAAAAAAGCCTGTTTGCAAGATTGGCCCCTTGGCTGATCCCTAGGAACTTAGATTTCAGGAGGATTCCCATCTTTCCCTGAAAAGAGTTCCTTGTGGTATCTAAGCTGTACAAACAATGTGGTTTATGTTGAACATCTGTTCTGGGGATCTGGAATTTTGTACTTGACCAGCTCCTCCAGGCACTGAGTCTCCAGTGAGCTTTCTTGATAGACATTTCACTCATGATACTGCTCTACGTAGGAACTGCGTATATCCCATAAGACCCCACTTGGAATCCTGACCTGGTTTTTAATTAATGAAGTGCCATTGTTTTACATCCTTGTTAATATTTTGACAATAGAGGATTTCTCCCCTCAGGTGTGGTCACCGAAGCTCTCCCTCCATCAAAGCACTCATAGTCCTCCATGATAATCCATTGTGCTCTTCCCCCTTCTCATCCACTCTTCCCTTCCCCCTCCCCCATTCTTCTTGGATGCCTCAGATCTATGGTCATCTTTGAAGGGTTGGTTTTTTAAAGTTTATTTTGGGGACCTCCCTGGTGGCGCAAGGGGTTAAGACACAACCTATGAAGCTATCTGCAGCTTCTGCAGCATGAATTCGATCCCCAGCTGGCCAGGGAGCTACCCACATGGCAAAGCAGACCTCTCCTG